CCCTTAGAAACACACCAATCCATCAGGATTTACACAACCAGGGACTTAGAAGTAGACGTCACAGTCTGACTCTCAGTCTACTCACAGCAATCTACTAGGTTGATGTCAGGTAAATTCAGGCAGCGTCACCAGAACATGCCAAGGGAAATGATTTTCCGAAGAAGAAAGCAAAATAAGCCATTTAATTACCGACAGAGTGTGAGAAATATCTGCGCATAGGTTGATTTGCCCGTGCGAATGCCCATGAGAATTTCCTCGGGCGAGTCCGGCTTCACATTGTCAAAGTTCATTTTGTGCAGGTCCTTGGTGCAAAGCCAGAGGAAGATGGCCCTCACACGCTCCAACTCCGAGGTGATGTTGCGCGCGTAGATGAGTTGCCAAATGAGTTGGGTGAAGTTGTCCTGTTGTTGCTGTGACACCAGCATTGCATGCTCATCCACTCGCCGGAAGGCCTGTGAAGTAAGGGCAAGGCGATTTATCATCTTCCTAATTCCCAGCGCTATCATCATAAATATCTTCGTCACCACCATCATCATGAACATCACCGGTAAGGGTTCCTTATAAAAAACGCCATCTTTTAATATGCATAATTAACTACTCTCTTTGTTGTAATTTATTATTTAGTTCACTTATTCGTTTATTATTTTTACTAGTTTTAATATAGTGTTAATTTAGATCAATTAATTTTTAGGCAAAAATGATCTGCAGGGCCCCTCTAGATATTTATTCCCCCCGCCCAACTGCTTAAAGTATTTTGTGATGAAACATTAATTCTTGGCTAGTGAGCGTAAATTAATATGTAATTGTGGCGGAAGTGATCAAAAAATATTAAATTAAATAAGATAATGTTTGTTTTAATATGCTAATTATAATTAAATTCAATTAACACAAAATTCTATTGCGTAGAATACGCACGCTAATCGAGGGAAATTTGACCTTATGTAGGCGGAATTTAACGAAATTTGAAATTCGTCCTCCTATTCGTGGAATTTAACGAAAAAATTTAAAGTCAGGCCACCGAACATTTGAAAGTAGTTTTTTCTTATAAGTCGACGGGGCTTTATCAGCCTCTATAATCATTCTTGCCATTTTTTAGTTTAGTTAGCTCAGTTT